CATCCCAAATGTCCTTTGGGCAAGGCACTGTCTCTTTGTTCTGCGTTTGTACAGCACCTAGCGCAACAGGTTCCTCATCCAGGAGTGGGTGCCCTGCCAAGGTCTGCAGTAGCCACCCAGCCAGGGACACAGCCCCCACAAACCCTGGCACTTTCAGGCTCTGGAATCAGCCCTGGGGCTTGGTCCCAGTGGAGATGGAGGCCAGACACCCCAGCTCGGCCTCGGGGGGCTGGCGAGCCTGACACCCCAAGCTGCTCAGAGCCTCCCTCACTCCCCGCCCAGCTCCTTTGAGGGTACCCGGGCGTGGGGAGCGCTCCAGGCTGCCGCCTGCGGGGCTTAGCCCTGAGGGCCCGACCAGCGCCCCTTGGGAAGCCGCGTACCTGGGGGCACCGCGGGCTGCCCGGCGTCGGAGCCCCAGCAGCGGCTCGCGGGCCCCAATCCCCCCCGTTGGTTTCCACAGGGAACCTAACTGAGGCGGGCACCGCCCGGCGGGGGAATCCCTCCCACTCCGCCTAGGCCGCTGCAGCGAAGCGGGGGCGCGGGGTTCAGACGCGGCGGCAGCAGGGGCCGCTCTCGCTCTCCTGTCTCCGCGGCGGCGGCGCTGGCTGCGGGTCTCCCGCGCGCCCGGCCCCGCGCCCTGACGGAGGGAGCTGCGTCCCCCTCCCCCCGCCGCCACCACTCACAGCCGCCGCCATTTTCCCGCCTGACGCAGCCCTCGGTCCCGGGAACCGGCCCTGCCTGCCGCGGGTAACGGCCCGGGGCCGCCTGCTGCACGCGCCGCAGCTTGGCGGCCGCGTGGCCGGGGGGTTAGTTCCCGGCTGGGTCTGTACAAACAGCGGCTCCCGCGCGCGGGCGGTGTTTGTGGGGCCGCCACGGGGCTCTGCTGCTTCTCTGCTGATGTTGGGCACAAGGGGCAGGGGCTTGACTCTGCCTTCGCCCCGTGCGGGGGGATGGATCCCCCGAAGAACACCTGCGGGCTGAGAGGGGGGTTGATGGGGGTGGTGGGCATTGCCTGCTGCCCTGCCTTTGCCATTCCTTCTCCTCACCTTATTTAGTCGTAATGTCCGTTGAGGCTCACTGCAGCCGCAGAGCAGGCGTCCCAACCAAGCCCTGGTCACTCTTAACACGTCGTTTGTTCCCGCCTCACACTGAAGGCACCGATAGACCCACTGGTAGCATCTTGGGGCCCCGCTCATGAGTTCGGGTCACATTGTGCTAGGCTCTAGATCAGGGGTTCTCAAACTTCATTGCATGGCGACCCCCTTCGGACAACAAAACTTACCGCATGACCCCAGGAAGGGGGACCGAAGCCTCAGCCTGCCCGAGCCAGGCTACCCCGGGGCAAGGGGAAGCCTGAGCCTCGCTGCCCCTGGTTGGGTGGAGCAAAGCTGAAGCCCAAGGGCTTTAGCCCCAGTCAGGGGGGCTGTAACCTGAGCGCTGCTGCCCGGGGCTGAAGTCCTTGGGCTTTGACCCCAGTGGTGGGGCTTGGGCTTCGGCCCTGGACTCCAGCGGGTCTAAGTCAGCCCTGGCAACCCCATTAAAACAGGGTCGTGACCCACTTTGGGGTCCTGACCCACAGTTTGAGAACCACTGCACTAGAGCATTGCAACCTGACTACACGGATTGGGCCAGCTCTGAAAACAACCCAATCCTCTCAGGCTCAGGTTGGCTCTGATCTTCTCTTCCTGCCCAGGAGTTTGGTGTGGTGGCAGTTGCATGCCCTGCTCTTGCTAGCCATCCCCTGCGCTGTGTGCGTTACGGAGTTAGCTTGCCAATGAGTCACAACATCTCTCATTCCACAGTGAGGTGACAGCAATGGCCAACGGGGGGAGGGAAGGGCCATGCAGGCGCTGTCACACCATCCCCAGGGGCAGGCGGTGACCAGAGACATATCGTGAGTATGGGGGGCAGGTTTGGGGGAAAGTGTCAGGGTCATGTCAGAACTGAAAATAACTTGATACTCTTGGGTGGAATTTGGGTCAGCTGTGCTCGGGTCTGTTCTGGGGCTGGGTCAGGCTTTAAAATTAGGCCTGAGCAGACCTGTATTAAAGACTGTACAAACCGCATAACAAAAGTTGGTCACTGCCACAATGTGCATACAATAAAATAAGACAACAGATGGATACAAACAGATTGGGAGGCCAATGAGACATCTTGCTGATCTACATACTCCTGCTGTCTCCTTACCCCATCCTGTTATTTATATTTTTAAAAAATCACTGTTGCTATTTTCAGATACATTAGTTACTACTACAAAAAACATAGGCATTCCCAAAGAAAACATTTGTTAGCTAACAGTTAAGTCGTGACTTGTAAGTTCAAATATTATTCATCACTGCAAATATTAAACTCTGGAATTCATCAGCTAAGGTTAATTATATAGCTCTTGCCCAACTGTAACACACTGTTGATTAATACACATCTATATACTGGACACCAAAACAACTAACTCTGTCCTAACAGTAATTTCGTGGGACATGGAATGGAGAGGGGTCTTTAAAACAACTTTATCCATCCATAACAATCAATTTCATTTGACCTGTCAATGCTTTTCTTTCAGCTCCAAAGTGGATATGCTGACTCTAATGTTCTTTATGCCTATCTACCATCCGCATGACAAATATTGTATAAAATTCTTAGTAGACAAGCAGCATACTAAAGACCATCATTCTCCATTCTTCATTAAGACTCCATGTGTTCATCTCTCCATAGGTTTTTGTAAGGCACTTATCAGTGTAGTGTCTAACCACAAATCTAATTGATGTGACATCCACAATTCAAGTATCTTTACATACAGAGCTAATGTATCTATGTATGCAAACCTCCTAGGCCCACATCATGAAATTATAACATTGACATAAAAAGAATCAGTTTTAGCCATTTGACAAATCATATACTTGTAACTGGCTTCATACATCGGTACAATGTTTTCCTAAAATTTAAGAATTCTGCAAATGTATACTGCAGACTTAAGCCCATTATGAAATTAAATGATGAAGAGAAGATGGCTAGTGGCTACTCTAAATTTACCTTGTTATTAGCCTTTCTAAATGTAAGTTGTTAACAGTCATAGTCAGCACTTCTTAAGCTATTGATTCCTGCCTGTCTTTCATCCCATGAGTAAGGGTTAGGTGGATCAGGCTTCGGTATGAAAGAAACAAAGATGAGAGTTTGGTGTCACTACAAGAGGAGTGTTGATTGTTTTGCTATTGACTAGACAAAAATGTTCAATGTATGGGTGTGTTAATGGGTGTTCAGACATATACAGGAATATAGCTATTGTCAGCCTTACTTAGTATACTACACATTTCAAGTTGTCCTTAGTAGGTGATTTTCATTTGTAAATGTTGGTCCATCTTTTTATTAAAATATTTTTAAATGTATTTTTAAACAAAGTAAATTAACCAATTAAACAAGAAAAACAAAAACGTATTTAACGTTACTAATTAATTCCAGACAGACCTAAGCATAATAATACCAAATATATTGTTAATTATTATATGAGGAAGATCTTAACATTATAATTCTACAGCATCATCAGGTAAAATGGGTTATCAGCAACATCAATCTACAAGTAGTCCTAGAACAGAGATTTACATTCAGAGGGTCCTTTTTGTGAAAGAGGAGAATATCTGAGTTGCCAGTTGTTGTAATATTGTATAATGGGAAGGAGTTTGTATTTAAATGCCTCTATTCTGTTCTTTCTAGGTTCTTGTACTGTGCTCATGACCCTAGGACGAGTGCTTCCCACTAGAGCATTAAGCAACGTGACTAACATTTGTCAGGTGTTTGTTCTCTCATCCTCTTCCCCAGGAGGAGAAGTGTGTGCAGTGAAGTGTTTTGTGGATTTAAAAAAAATAAAATATACACCCGCTGCTATATGTTTATGTTAGAGAAAGCAAGGTCAAAGAAATACACCTTGCACTTGGAGCAAAAGGTGGGGAGGTTTGTGGTGCTCCTTATTTCCTGTGGAGGTTCATCCACAGTCTTGGGCCAGCCCCTGAGAAAGCTCTGTTTCCTCTCCTAGCCTGCTCTCAGACACCCTTCACACAGAAAGTGGAGTCCAAACCCATCCCCTTCCTGCAGTTTGGTTTTATTTACCCAGAAATTAACAATAATGTAACATAATCAGCTCTTTCTAGGCCCCCATAACCTAATATCTGATCACCTTGTAAAGGAATGATAAATACATAAATAATAATTTATTATTTGTATTATCATAATGCATAGGAGCCCTAGTCAAGGACCACACAGAACCTGATTGTGGTAGGCATTGTACAAACACAGAACAAAAAGATGGTCTCTGCCCCAGAGAGCTTACAATTTCTCCTCACAACTTTGCTGTGAAGCAAGGAAGCATGCATTTTCTATTTTACAGGTGAGGAGCTGAGGCATGGGGGCATTCAGCGCTTGATCCAAAGCCCAATTAAGTCAATGGAAAGACTCCTATTAATTTACCTACGATTTGGACCAGGCCCCAAGTGACTTACCCAAGGCTTCACAGAGAGTCTGTGGCAAAACTGAAAACCGAATGCAGATATTCTGAGTTTCAGTCTAGTGCCCTAATCACAGGAGCAGCCAAACTTTTCCTAGGGCCAGCTGCTCTTTGTGTTCCACCATCTAGATTTCTAAACCCATTCCCCAGATCCTCTCCATCACTCGGGCACCTCAAAAGACCCATTTTGATGGGGTTGTCTTACCAATTCCTCACAATCTAGATTCAGTTATCCCTATTTTTTCCAACTGTCTTTGCCACTTCCTAGAGGCCTGGAAATAGGTCACCTCTGACCACTGGGTTCTAAACACAGTGGAATTTGGTTATACCCTCCAATTTATTTCAACCCCACCTTCCCCATCCTTCTTCAGGGACCCCTCTCACAAGCTTCTGCTAGAGCAAGAAGTTCAATCCCTCCTCAGCATGGGAGCAGTGGTGGAGGTTCCGCTACATCTAAGAGGAAAAGGGTTTTACTCCCATTATGTTTTGATACCCAAGGCCAAGGGAGGTCTCAGACCCATCTTAGACCTGCGTCAACTCAACCATTATCTCAAGAGGTTGAAGTTTCGCATGGTCTCCTTGGGGTCGATCATTCCGTCACCAGATCTAGGCGATTGGTATGCTGCCCTTGACTTAAAAGATACAAACTTTCACATATTGATCTTCCAAGGACACAGAGGATTCCTGAGGTTCATGGCAAACCAAAGACATTACCTGTTTGTGGCCTTGCTGTTTGGCCTCTCGGTGGCCCCCAAGAGTCTTCACCAAATGCATGGCAGTGATAGCGGCCTTCCTCAGGAGAAGATGACTGGCTCATCAAGGGCAGGTCTCAGGTGCAAGTGCAGTTGGTCATCGCCCTCATCCACTCAACCTTCCAGGCATTGGGCCTTTTGATCAACATTCAGAAATCAACCCTTATACCCATTCAGAGAATAGAATTTATTGGAGCGTTTCTCGACTCCCAACTGGCAAGGTCACTGCTCCCAGTGAGTTATTTCCAAGCGATCACAGAGTCAATACGTCTCATGCAGTCCCTACCAATCATCACAGTAAAGCTTTGTTTGAACCTTCTCGGTCATATAGCTTTGTGCACATATGTCGTTCATCACATGAGGCTGAGACTCATACCTCTCCAATCCTG